TAAAGAAAGGACGCCAAAAACCAACAACTGAGTTGTAAACAAAGTGATACATCATGTACATTATCATGCTCATAGAAAAACTAAATGTAACAACCTTGAACAGAAAAAGTAAACTTTTTACGGTAGACTAACCTTGATAGCAATATATATTGTCTTACAGTCATACTGATAATAATCGATTAATTCTCTGCTGAGAGGATTCGCTTTGACGAAATTCTACATGTTCTAGGATTCTAATTTCATCGAACGAATATTAAAGAAATGTCCATAATCAGAATAAATCTATTAACTCCATTACAAAAGATAAAAATGTCACATGTATAGGAGATACCACTATTTGTAACACGTACTTTGTAGCAACTAAGAACTATTGTGATACTTTACTTGAAATTGACTGCAATGAACATGAAATGAAGTTGCCATTATGTTTTAAAACAAAACAGTGAAAATATGGATAACTTCGACCCATATGCGTACATATAAACTCCGCACAAAACATGAAGATCAAGCGTACGGGTAACTCTAAACTAAATGAAATCCTGCTACATTAGACACAAATGTCATAATGTGCAAACAAATACATGTAGATAACTACCTCTTATTGGTACATATGTAAAATCTACAAGTATACTAGGAACAAACTCCTTTAACATAGGTATGCCAATGCACAACGAATTTAAGCCATTGATCTTGGTAAGTTTCATTTCTTCGACCACAATTAACTGAAAAAATCTCCAAATCAAAAATTCTAACACGACATAAACTTTTATTGGTACAAAGAAACCCTTAGCCTTGTACTTATCTTATACATGTGGATAGGTACAAATAAATAATGAACCCTAGACTCCCACACAATAAGAACATATCTGCGGCCTACTCTGTACTATTGCTAATCACCTTGGGTAGGCACATTTAAACTTTTTACCCAAAACTCCCACACAATAAGTACATGTATGCGGCCTACTCTGTTCTATTGTTAAACACCGTGGGTAGGCACAGATAAACTTTGTACCCAAAACTCCCACACAATAAGTTCATATATACGGCCTACTCTGTACTATTGCTAAACACCGTGGGTAGGCACAGATAAACTTTGTACCCAAAACATCCACACAATAAGTACATGTATGCGGCCTACTCTGTACTATTGCTAAACACCGTGGGTAGTCACAGATAAACATGTACCAAAAACTCCTACACAATAAGTACTTATATTCGGCCTACTCTGTACTATTGCTAAACACCGTGGATAGGCACAGATAAACATGTACCAAAAACTCCCACACAATAAGTACTTATATTCGGCCTACTCTGTACTATTGCTAAACACAGTGGGTAGGCACAGATAAACATGTACCAAAAACTCCCACACAATAAGTACTTATATTCGGCCTACTCTGTACTATTGCTAAACACCGTGGGTAGGCACAGATAAACATGTACCAAAAACTCCCACACAATAAGTACTTATATTTGGCCTACTCTGTACTATTGCCAAACAACGTGGGTAGGTTCATATATAAATTTATACCCCTACACGTCCACACGATAAGTACATTAGGCCGAAATTATTTCGATTCAATAATAAACAAACCTGTGAGCTAAACAAAAAACTCTGTACCATAGCTCCATTTTATCAAGATTATAAATTTAGGAAACTGATTCATATGGTATAACCGTGTCTAAATGAATAATTTCTACATAAGACCGAAACCACTGTCATTAGAAGAACCGAACAAATGTACAAATTCTATAATTTCCACAGAAACACGAGCTAACAAAAACTTGCTGTGTAATTTTTAATAATTCAAAAATATTAAATGGCTTGACTTTGAAATTCAATCCTTGCTTTTAATCAACAGAATTTGCTGACAAGCTTTATCTATATGATCTTTCCTATTCATAGACTTCTCAAAGCATACGCAACACGTTGTGCAATAAAATGATTAAGAATACGATACTGGCCTTATTATTAAGACGACTGAATTATCTGCATTCCTATACATCGAAACCACGTCCGCACTGGCTGGTCGTGCAAGGGGGTGCAGCACAGATGTACACCAACTGGACTTGATAGCTCAGGTTCATCCTGAAACCTCTGTGGCTCCAAAAGTGAAACCCTGACAAAGACCGTCATGATCTCCAGCTGCGTATTTGTTTTCCATCAACGCCATCCTGCAGATACTGCCTATGATGAATATTATCACAACTTCTCGCCAAACAAATCTGTGTCTCCATTGATATAAATGTGTTCAGTTTTAGTCGTTTAGTTTAACAAACAACAAAAATCAGAAATCACGCGCATTATGTGGGTATATGTGGATCTCTGTCCTTTTGTTAACGAACGAATGCCAGTTCAAAACACAACACAAAGTTAATCAAGTCCAATCATCAGAAAAAATATACTCCACATGACTCCACATGGGCATTGCAAAATCTGCACATGTGAATAACCCGCGCACGTCTATCACAAATTGTGGGCAACACCCTCGGTTAAGAAAACAAAAAATAATCTCAAACAGCACAAATCTTGCAAATTGTGACAATAATCAACAAATGTTGGAATAAGAAAGCACTTCTCTTGGCTGACTATAACGATCACAAAGAATTGTAATTTCTTCAAAATAGACGTGCTTCATGTTAGCGGTGGTGAGCGCGCGAGTGTGAATGACTCGCTAAGCTAACCACGTGACCTTACACATTCTATTACAATTAATCCCTCAGGCAAGGCGTGGATCTGAGAATTATCACAATTTACCAACGTAAATATTTCCGGAAACCTCCAAACAAATTATCGCATTAAATACATAAATACAATTATTATTCTAATAATTGTTGTTATACGAGAAAGCATTAAAAAGATGATGGTGGGTCAGATTTTAACATTGATATGTTTTACATCTTGACTGGATTGGAAAGGTAAACACCATTTAATTGACTCAAGTTTTATTTCATATAGTTTATGGATGAAATAAATTAGCACACATAGCACACATAGATAAATGGTCGCTCAGGTGAACAAAATGACTTTGTAAAAATCACTTATAAATCTAAGATAAAGGTGACAGTATAGGATTGATAATTTGTTGTCTATTGAATATCAGATTCTTATCACTCATCTGATTATGCTTATATTATAATTTGATATTTTTTTTTGTTTTTATGTTCCCTGTTAGTAGTACTAGTAATTGAGTGTAACACGAAAAGTTACATGAATAGTGAACTCAGTATTTATATATGAAAGAAAAAAAAAGAATTTAAAAAAAAAAAACATCAAGTTATCTGCCTTTTCCATTTTATTTTGCATCATCAAAGTACCAATATCTGCACTTATTGGAAATATTTGTGTAACCTTTGTGAAATTAATAAAGTTTCCTATAACAAATATGGATAGCACTTAACCTTAGTTAAGAATAACAAATAATTTGTACTAGTGTTTAAAAAATTAAAAGAGTCGGAAAAGTGATCATATGCAGGGATTAAGTAGGGCTTTCCTGTGTAAATAATTACATTGCCGTTAAAAGCAATAAAAAGAATCAAATACATTAATAAAGGGTGTAATTTTTGTCAAAATTATTTCTACTCAATACTGTGAATATCAACCAACCCCCTTTTATTTCTTTTTTAAAGAGAAAAGTAATACCTACTAGTTAAGTTATGAGTTCAGGATAGTAAGATTTCTTTCACACTTTTAACAACTCTCTTACATTTGCATGTGTATACCTTATAACAATTCAGGAGTAACTACAAATGGACCTAGATCTACAAGTACCCTACTACTGGGAGCATATCCACCGTGCAAACTAAGCGCCCTAGGTCTTTATAATTTTCTGTCAGAAGTTTATTTAAACTTAAAATTCTACAAATTATCACATATGTTTTCAAAGATGCAGATAGCAACGATTTTATGTTTTGTACATTATCTTTTTTTCTTTCGACGTGCTAACATTAGCACTGCAAGATCATCAATATTTATCAGTTTGGATACAACGAAGTCATACAGTTTAACATATATGAAAATCAGTTCAATATCTCAATACTTGTACAATATTAGGCATTCTGACTGCAGAGACAGGAGAACACTAGAAAGATAGCCAGACAAAAAAAGAAACAAAGAGATGGACAGAAAAAAACAAGTTTCCCACCCTTGAATTTCCCTTGATCTGAACAGTCTCTCTGTGTTCATACACATCTATATAATTTAAAATGTCCTTGAAAAATAGGCAAACGTAAACCTTAATGTTTGTAGGCCTGTCATAAAATTTAACATTTAAATATATCTGTTAAGCTGGAAAAACCATGACAAAGTTTTTTTTTCTTTTTTTAACTATCGACCGTAAAAGCATTCATAAATAGTTTACAATGAGTCGGATTTCAACATTGAAACCATTTACATCTTGACTATTACCCTGAGAACAGACAAAACGCCACTTAAAATAACGATTTATTTTTATTTTTAAACAATGGCATTATATTTCATACAATAGATTAAAACATGGCACAAAGTACCAATCCACTGATTAACAGCATTTCATTTCGATCCGTGTTTGCTCTGCTCCTGTTTTGTATTGTTTTACTGACATTTGATCTTGTATACCGTTCGTTATTTCCATACGTTTCACTCCAGATAGACAGAAATGGTAAATCAAGCATATAAAAAATAAAACATCATTTATACTTTGAATTTTTTTCATGGGGAATACTTTTTTATATTTAGATTTAAAAGACAACCATAAAAAAGCACAATGTGTACTATCATTTATGAATTAATTCACTTACTAATCAAGAAACATATTTATTAATGTTACGCAAACACGTGTTTGTGTTTGTTTATTCTTGTCATCTATTGGCTGTTAGAATTGTCACCTAGTCAGGTGACATTAATATTCATAGCACGGGCTATTAGTGACCGTGAAAGAAATTCTGTATAGGGAAAGCCATTCGAAGGCTCTATTTCGTGCTGTCAACACGTTTTCCTCATTCATCATATTCAGTCGATTATGGGCGATTCTGGAGACGAAATTTTGCTAGAGACTAATGATAATAAGAAAGTTACAAAGGAAACTACTGGCAGTAATCCTCCGTTGGATATTTCGGACGTGGTGAAGCTTGTTACAGGAGTTTTGCAGTCACAATTTCAAAACCTTTCAGGTCAGCTTAAAGCAGAACAGTCGGAGTCTATTGCTAAGAAACTTAAAGAAAACTCTACTCTTAAGATTAAATCTGAAGGGAATCGCGCTCAGTACGATTTTAATGCTGATATTCTTGAGGGTCTAGAAAAACTAGAGATAAGAGCTTTCGAAAATAAAGACAGTGAATCAGTGTCAATAATAGGCGAATTGCGGAAAAAACTGAAAACGCGCCAGAAATACATTCGTATTGCCGATTCATCTCCTGCAGGGTGGAAGACAGTAAACGAGTATCAGTCCAGAGAAATTGCCCACAACACCGACGATGAGAAGAAAATTAGAAGCGCTGAAAACCGAGCCCTTAGGCATCAAAGGCAAACCCAGAACAAGCGTTTCCACCCGTATGGCTCCTACAGAGCTTCTACAGCGTCAGCAGCGGCAGGCTCGGCAGCCCAGCTTACTTCTGGTTCTTCCTCTACTCCTACATCTCAGCCATATACATGTACATATCAGCAGCAGCCCTTTCGTGGCAAACTCACAAGGCGTCAACCACAGCCCAGCGACGTATGCTTCAACTGTTTTTCCACTGGACACTGGAAAACCAACTGCCCCAAAAACAAGTCACAAACTCACAAGGCGTCAACCACAGCCCAGCGACGTATGCTTCAACTGTTTTTCCACTGGACACTGGAAAAGCAACTGCCCCCAAAAAAAGTCACAAACTCACAAGGCGTCAACCACAGCCCAGCGACGTATGCTTCAACTGTTTTCCACTGGACACTGGAAAAGCAACTGCCCCAAAAACAAGTCACAAAGTCAATGATAAGTATACAGGTTATACAAGCTATTCTACTCTTGCTGGCCAGGTGAAATGCCTTCAGAAAAATAATTCAAAACAAATGTCATTGATAAAGTACAATTTGAAAAGAAATATTAGTAAATGGAGAGAAATTGGCACAAACCCTTTTATTTTGAAAGTTATTGAATCTGGATATGAAATTCCTTTCGTTTCAAATCCTCCTTCTATGTGTTTTCAAAATAACAAGTCTGCTATTAACAATTCTGAATTTGTTACCTCAGAGATTTCAGATTTGATGGAAAACAAACGTATTTTAGAAGTTCCTTTTCAGCCATTTGTGTGCAGTCCACTGAGTGTCGCCGAAAACAAAAACAAAAAGAGGTTGATCCTTGATCTCAGTAGGCTAAATAAATATGTCAAGTATGATAAAATAAAATTTGAAGACTGGAAGACGGCATTAGATTATTTTGAAAAGGGTTTTTACTGTATTAAATTCGATCTGAAATCAGGATATCATCACATAGATATAGCTGAGAATTATCAGACTTATTTAGGATTCCAGTGGGAAAACAAGTATTATTGCTATACGGTTCTCCCTTTTGGTCTATCGTCAGCACCATTCATTTTTACTAAATGCTTAAGACCCATCGTGAAATACTTGAGAAAAAATGGCATTTTTATTGTATTATATTTAGATGATGGTTTGGCGTTCGCTTCTACTGAGGACCAATGTCTTTTAGATTCTCAATTTATTCAGAAAACGTTGTCAGAAGTTGGTCTGGTGGTCAATGTTGAGAAATCACATTTTATACCAACACAAGTCATTGAATGGTTAGGTTTAACATGGAATTCAAATCTATTCTCTATTTCAGTTCCGGACAGACGAATCGGTGATGCTATCTGTTGTCTACAGAAAACTATCATTCATTTTCCCGATGTAACAGCGAGGGAACTTGCAAGAGTAGTGGGGAAGATCATTTCTATGACTCCAGTAATGGGTAACATTTGCAATATTATGACAAGGTTTTCTTCTATGGAAATTGCTTTGAAAGAATCATGGGATTCTAACCTATTTTTCAAGCATAAAGATCAAGTGTTTGAAGAACTAAAATTTTGGGTAGAATGTATGCGTTGTGACAGTACAAGATTTTTACATTCTGTTAAAAGAAAAAACGTAATAATTTATTCAGATGCAAGTAATTCAGCATCAAGTGCATATACAGTTGAAGTTAATTCTAAGGTGTTCCATTTGATGTAGAAAGAACATGAGAAAAATATGAGTTTTACATGGAGAGAGTTGAAGGCCATAGAATTGGCGTTGGCTTCTTTTAAGAAAGAACTACAAAATATGACAGTAAAGTGGTTTACAGATAATCAAAGTTGTGCGAATGGTACACTCTGGTAGCATGAAACATCACTTACAAGTTTTAGCATATAATATTTTCAAAATGTGTGTCAAAAATAAAATTTCCCTTGATGTTCAATGGGTTCCAAGATCAGAAAATGAAAAGGCAGATTTTTTCAGTAAAATTATTGATCACGATGATTGGGAAGTTACTAATGAATTTTTTGAATTTATTAGTTCTATGTTTGGTCCTTTCTCTGTAGATAGATTCGCAAACTTTAACAATCGTAAACTTGCTAGATACAACTCAAAATTTTGGAATCCTGAATCAGAGGCTGTAGATTGTTTTACACAGAATTGGGTGGGCGAAAACAACTGGCTAGTTCCTCCCATTCATTTGATAGTTTCTAGTATAAAACATTTATTAAATTGCAAAGCGTATGGTATTTTGATTGTACCTAACTGGCCCTCAGCTGTTTTTTGGCCAATGTTATTTGATTTAGAATTATCTTATAAGGCGTATGTTAAAGATGTGTTATTGTTTAAAGATACAAGTGAGATAATCAGTCAAGGTCAGAACAAGAACTGTATATTTGGTTCTATATATTTTGGCTCTGAAATACTTGTGATATGTTTAGACGCTACAAATTTGTAGTTTGTGATGGTGTATTGCAGATGGTGTAGGCCCTGGTACACTTTAAACAAAGATTTTTGCCGAGCTGGGCAAATGTATAGATGATGTATTGCAGATGACAAGTGGTCCTGGTACATCAGAGAGGGTGTATTGCAGATGATGAAGGTCCTGATACACCATATAATATGTTAAAGTTGGAAGATGCTAATTTTTTGCTTTAATAAATACATATTTCAGATATATTTAAAGTGGGCAGATGGACGGGAATTAATTGTGGATTACAGGATCATCGTCTAGCGGAACTTGCTTCTGAACTACCTAGATATTGTGTAACATCTAAGGCCGAAAATACAGCAGAAGAGTACAGGTACGCTTTTAATACGCTTTGTAAGTGGTGTAGCAGCTTTAACCCTGGGATTCAATCACTTCCTGCTTCGGAAAACAACGTTGCACTATATATTATCCATTTAGCAAAACAATGTTAATCGTCTGGCACAATACATTCAGCTATACATGCCATCAGTTGGGCACATAGCCTAGCAGGTTATATAGATCCTTGTGACTCAGCTTTGGTAAAAACTGTTAAGGAAGGGGCAGTTAGAGAGACATCAAAACCAGTGATTAAAAAATAGCCTATAACGCCTGAACACTTGAAAACTCTGGTTTGTACATTTGGAGAGGATGGAAATTTATATAATTTAAGAACATTGTGTATGTGCTTATTAGGTTTTGCAGGATTTTTTAGATTTTCAGAAATAGTCAACATTCGTTACTCAGATATCTGTATACAGACTAATTGTGTAGAAATAAACATTGTTTAAAGTAAAACAGATGTTTATAAAACTGGTCATAAAGTTTGTATTGCTAGAACATTCTGTGATACCTGTCCTGTGAATATGTGGGAAAAGTTCTTAAAATTGTCAAATGCTGATATGCATTCTCCTCTGTTCTTGTTTAGATCTCTGTCATTTTGTAAAAAATCCAAACTTATAAACTGAGATCGGTTTTTTTTATTTGTTTAATGGACGTTGAGATTGAATACTGTTCGTTATTTCCATATCCTTCTCATCGGATAATCGTCCAATTTCTTATACAAGAGCAAGAGAAATCATATTGGATTCACTTGAAAAGATTGGTTTAGACAAGTCTAAATTTGGTGTCCATAGTCTGAGATCAGGTGGCGCTACCTCCGCAGCCGCAGCAGGAGTTAGCGACAGACTGTTTAAAAAGCATGGGCGGTGGAGGTCGGACAATTCTAAAGATGGTTATGTTAAAGAAAACCAAATTGAAAAACTTTCAGTTACTAAAAATTTGGGCATTTAGGATATTCGTGTCAGTTCTAATCTTCTTTATCTTCGAAATAATTAAACTGCACTTTCAGAGCGCTTCATATCCTATTTCACGAGTTTGTGTTTATTTCATAAATGTTTTATGTTCATTTGAGTGAAACGAATAAGAACATAAACGTATTTATTAATGTTACGCAAACACGTGTTTGTGTTTGTTTATTCTTGTCATCTATTGGCTGTTAGAATTGTCACCTAGTCAGGTGACATTAATATTCATAGTACGGGCTATTAGTGACCGTGAAAGAAATTCTGTAAAGGGAAAGCCATTCGAAGGCTCTATTTCGTGCAGTCTTATAAGTCCCACCCACCCGCCCATTGCTTAGTTTTGAATATTTTACTAGATTGATACTTTGTTCAAAATATTTATTTTCTATTTTGTAGAATTCGGACATTGATGAGGACAATAGAAAAAGAGATATAATATGTATTGTGTGTGAAATAATTAAACTGCACTTTCAGAGCGCTTCACATCCTATTTCACGAGTTTGTGTTTATTTCATAAATGTTTTATGTTCGTTTGAGTGAAACGAATAAGAACACAATATCTATTTATATTTGTACAATAAAACGAATTTATTATATAGCTAATAAATAGTCTCTAATGAAATACTACACAAAATCTAGAGAATTTTAACGTTCAATATCTTAACGTTTTATTGAACGCTAACTTTGTATTACGAATATGAGTATGCCCTAAACATTCCGAATACGAGCGTTCAATATCGAAGCCCCGTTGTAAACAAAAAAGTTGTCTGGTCAAATTCTTAGAGCTAAATTAAAGAAAAGAAGTGGCATCTAGGTAAGATGTGTTTATTTTCCACACAAAACTGAAATTATTTATTAAAATATAGTACGTATTAGACCCATTAGAACCCAAATAAGCAAATCATATCGCTCGGTAGGGTCATCGGAATGATGCGATATTGAACGCTAACAGGACAGACGTTAATTTGAATACCGATACTAAAATATCATTAATTTGAGGGGTTTTGTAGTTGAAATAATTATTATAAATTATTTGGAAATGTTTTAGCTATATAATAAAGGAGTTATTGAACCTAAATTGGTTAATTTTGGCACTCGCTGGCTGTTCAAATGCACTCGCAAGCTCATGCATTTGAACAGCCTACTCGTGCCAATAGTAATATTTGGTCAAAAATACTTATAAAATGGAATTCTCAAATAATGACCTAGAGAAATTAAGTAAAAGCATTTATATTAATCAAATTTTTAAAAAGATAACACTGATTTATTTTTATTTTAATTTCTACAAATGCAATGTAGTACCTATGTAGTTACTTAAATATTTTATCAACATATTATACTTTGCTTCTTTCCACATTTTAACTCAACAAAAATAATCCACGAGAGAGAGAGAGCGAGAGAGAGAGAGAAGAAAAAGAAAGAGACGGCACCACGCATGTCAAACACTGTACATGTTTCGAGTTGGTAATTCATTAAGAATTTCTAAATTGTATTTTTTAACCCAGACTTTATTAATTTTTTTAGTTAGAGTGGCTGCAAATGATTTTCCTTTGTGTACTCCTATTTGTATAAGGTATGTGAAGGTACACCTATGAATTTTAATACTTATGGGGCAAACTTTTCGCAAAATAATTTTAAGACAATGTGACAGAAATATTTATAGTAAAGTAAAATTTCAACTGTTGATTTACATTTTCGACAATCAATTGTTTTTTTGTTTTTTTTTTTTTTTTTTTTTTTTTTTTTGCATAAAACATACATACCGCTGCCTTGCAGTATCATATGGGCAAAACGTTTGTGTTTTTTTTAATAATATAATTAATGCAACTAGTCGTCCTATTAGAGAAACACCGTCATCTTACGAACGAATTGTTTCCACGGTTGCATTATTAAATTCTTAAATTTCATTGGGATTTCGATAGATAAATCCCCACAAGATACCTCAAAGCTACGTCTTGTCGTAGTCGCTACCGTGATGCTACAATACATTTCCATGGACATTTAAAACGAGCAAAGGGGTTCGAGAAGGGAAATGAACAGAAAAAATTTTAAAAATGTCATTCTGTGGCATGAAATCTGAAATAATAGTATGTGCAGATCTAGTAGGGATCGAAGGGAGCGGGGTTAGTTCTTTACTAAGGGCGGTCAAGACAATAAGGGGTTATGGTCTAAAACCCAGAAACTTTAAGGAAATTTTTGTTCAAAATACTATATATATATATACTGCGAAAAATAAAATTAATATGGCTTTAATACATAGGTATTATTTTATATTATAATTTCAGGTGAGTG